TTCATATTGAGCGGTAGCCATATTAATAATGGCGATGATAATTGTTGTAGTAGAAACGCTTGTAGTATGAAGAAGCGGCCTAATAACAATAACAAGGACAATAATATTAGTAATAACTATAGAAGGCACTAATAATAGTAAGTGAGATAAAATTACAGTTAGTAATAACCATAATGGTAGAAGCCGTTGTTCCTTCCTTCCGTCCTTCCTTCTAAGGGGCCAGGGGACTATGGCACCAGGAGGCAAAAAAATGAAGAGATGGACAAAATGTAAAAAAGTGCCCTCCCCCTCCAACCCTTAACCTGTCGCAACGCTTGGCCTTGTATCGGGGCGGCAGCTGCCAGCTCTCACCGGGATGCCTGCAGCTCTGCTCAAGAAGCACACCATGATAGGCCGATAGTTGTCCCACACTTTCCCTCTTGCTGCCCTGCTGCTTGGGAAGAGAAGGCATGTCCTCAGCTTGGATTCTAATGTTCATAAAAGCAAGTATACCTTGCCTGGCAAACCTCAGAAACTTGGAGATTGCTGCCAGGCACCGTTGCCACTCGAGAATATTCGGCAAGCTAGGACTCTCGGAATGGTTGCTGCATGGTGAGCCCAAATCCCATGCAATGCAGCGGTGAAACCATCACGGTATCACAAGTCAGCGTCAAATCCGCAGGCATGAGCAGCGGCGCCAGAAGCAAAGGCAATTGCATTGCAACAATGTGCCTAGCGAGGCTTCGCCGGGAGGATGTCATGGTCGCAGCTGCCCTCCTGCCAGAGATACCATTCTTATGTTTCTGCCCAGCCTCTGGGGCAAGCGGAGCAGAAATGACTTGGAACCTCCGAGATCCACCTAGCAGCATCAGCAGCCGCAGTGGGCTAGACACCCAACCACAAGGCGNNTGCTCTCTCCATGAGAAAGAACGCCAAAAAAAACGGTTGCAAACCTATATAGTCTAGTTATATGAAGCTAGACACCCAACCACAAGGCGAAGCAAGCCATGGCGACTAATTATCACAGGCACGTGACATAAACAATCTCCATTACATCCTGGCTTCGAGTCGCCGCACAGCTGACGTCTTGCTAGGGCTGCTCTCTCCATGAGAAAGAACGCCGAAAAAAACGGTTGCAAACCTATATAGTCTAGTTATATGAAGTTATATGGCCTATACAAACTAAACAATACTTAACCTGTTTTTGGAGGAGGGTATGGTAAGTCTATGTTTACAAAAAATGCCTGAAAGGTTCAGGAGCTTTGGACCTTGATTGCTCGGCATGCGGCATGCTCGTCTAGCGGCGACATCAGAAGGCAGGTAGTCATTCAGACTCACTGGCACGCATGGTCTGATGCGGCAACACGACCGCCACCACCATCGCCACCACCACCAACACCACCGCCAGCAGCTCCAGCGGCACCAGCCGCAGCATGCCACCACCCTTGCCCCGCTCGCACCCATCACCACCCACAACAACCACCACAACCATACCCGGACCAATGGCAGCAACAACATGATCATGCCCTAACCAGCTGATGCAGGTGGCTGCAAACATTGGCATAATGAACCCTGTTGCCAGCTTTTACAGCCAATATGGCATGTTCGTGTTGGCTCGCGATCACGCCTCCAATCCTTTCAAACGGCCAGTGCTCAACCCAAAAGATAAGGCTCCTCTTCAAGCAGGGGCAACAGCAGTCCTGAACCACATGCTGAAAGGCACCTAGGTCCCAGGGGTAGTTCCAACCCTGCGGTGACATGTGGTGACAATTGATTTTCCAAGCACAACATCTGAGACGGCATGCAAACCCAGGAGGAGCGACGAGGCCATTCATGTCCTTGGAAGCAAAATGTGTGACGCACTGCGCTGACACAAGTACTGGAGGAAATTGCTTGAGGCTCAATATATCTGCCCCCCCCCCCTCCCCGTGTAGCCTCATCCCACGTCCTCCCACGCGCTAGGACCATCTGGCCAACGTCCGATACCGTTGCAGTGAACTGCATTCTTGATCGTCACGCTGGTCGTCCAAAGCATGGGTATGCTTGTCAAACACAAGGCCCCGCGGACAAATTCAAACCAGCTTTTTGAACTTTTCATTCACAACCAAAATCTTCAACATGCTTCAGCCGCTGCCCTTGTCCGTCGGGTTCAGAGCCAGATCCCATTTGTACAAGTATGCACGTCTGAAAAATCTGTCCTATCTTGCAGAATTCCTGGCAGGATTTCAGGCCATATATTTGGACGTGTCCGAGCACAGATCAACTCTTGACAGCATGCCGAACAAAGTCGTAGTTGTCTGTAAAGCTACCAACCGACCAACAACTCAGGCGAGTGATCTCAGCAGAGGCCACAGGCTTTCTTCAAATTGAAATCCTCGGACCCCTTCTCTACACCCACTGCCCTTGCGCGGAATTGAGGCACGCGCGGTGGTCTAGGAGATGCAACAACTGATCCTGGCTGGACTCGGGCCTTGGCAAGCTGACTAGCTCAGCACATTTCAGCAGGCGAGAGCATTTAATTGGCTTGAGGTCAACACAATAGCGGGACCGCACGGAGCCCTGAAACCAAGCATTGCCAATGCATCATCAAGCACCGTTTCCTTGAAATGACCACTGTTAACAGAGCGAAGTCCTGCTGCCACGGCTGGCCGGTTGTCGCTTGCGAAGGTCTCCTTGCAGCGCAGGTGGCCCCACCCAGAAGAAGACATTGGATCTCTGGGCTCTGACAGCAGAGAAGAACATGAACTCTGCAGCATCCATAATTCCACCATCCTCAGCTCAAGGAGCTTCAATGCAACATGGCGCAACCTTCAACTCCATGCACTAACGTTCAGAAGCGGGGGTTGAGCCCCCAGCCCAAGTTGCCAAGGACTCCTGCAACATCTTGCACATGTGAATGCGACTTCTGTTTGCAATATGGCCTGCAGCGCAAGGGCTTCAAACAGTGCAGCGTAGAGATGTGGAAGGGCCTGTACCGGCACATACCCATGTCTATGAACGACTACAACCATTCAAAAAACCCATGTATTTGTATCCCTACTGGCTGGGCTTCAAATTTATCAAATCAGATGGGCTCCTAATCCAACTGATTGATGCATGCGGGTGCTGCAAACATGGAGACATGTACGGAGTTGTACCCTTTTGTATGAAGCTTGTACCATGGGCAACCTAGCTTGCTTCCACAATTCAACCCGCAAGGGAGTGCTTTACTGGAAGCAAAGTACAAAAGCGATGCGAGAGAAGCCTGTCATACTATGACAATCAGTGACTCCATCCGGTGGTGAGGAAATGAGCGCCCAAGTAAAGAGTTGGAGATTGAGTGGCCGGGAAGGAAAGGAACATCTGACAAGTCTCAGCTGCACACTTCTGATGATCTCACAGCATCGTTCGCCTCTTTTTCCTCCAAATTAGAGACGATCTCGGTTTCAGTTCTGATCCCAGCTGGTCTGGCTGCACGTCTCAGGACCCACCAGCGGATACCAAGATTTGATCAGGGTTGTGGTGGGAGGACACGAAGTAAATATTCTCCTGAGGATTTGGGCAAGCAAGCAACTTCTGCGGAATGAGGCAGCAGCTGCTGCTTTGACATGTCCCCTTGCATGACACGTCGGGCTTCACGACGATAACTGGAACTCTTTTATCTTGCTTATAGAAAGGAACACCTTGGTTCTTGAGGGTGCTACATCATCCAGTGGGATTGCTTGTTGTCTTCATTGTGGTTTGCTCATTATCCAACGAGGCTTGCTCATCATCTATTTTGTGGGGCACTCATCGAGCGGGTTTGTTCAGCATCTATGTTGTCAGCGATTGATGATCATCTCATCTGCCTCATGGTTTGTTGAACCGTGGATTCTTCATCTAATACTGGGTTACTCTAATATAGCCATTAGCCATTACCGTATACTTGGGCCAGATGAGTGTCCCGTTTCTGATGTGGTTGTCATGCTTTGGGATCTTGACACCTCTGTGGGGCGAGATAGGCGCGGCGATGAATTCGACAAACTCAACAGCGTTCTGGGGCCGGATATGTGTGAGACTCTGGGTGAATATGGCCACAACTCACATTTTGCAAAACTTGAGGGTCAGCTGCAGAAACGAAAGGCCTGCGCCCCGTTAACTTGTACAGGGCATCGACTTTTACCATACATAATTGAGTTGGAGCATGTCACGGTAAGATATGTTCTCGGGCTTGCAATAGACTGTGCAGAAATAACCTGCAAAAAGTCAGGAAACTACTTTTTGGTCTGGACTCACATTCGAAATGCGTTTCGTGCTGAAACTGCACCTGCATTAAACGTCAAGAGCTTGTGCGTGTGCTGTAACCATGCTGGAAGAGAAAACGAGGAAGGCGCACCGAATGCAATCTGCAGGGATTGCTGGCAACTACAACGGATTCCAGGCCCCCTTAATTCCGGGGAGCGCATCTTGGCCTTCGAAAAAAGACCGAGAACTCTAGCCTCCCTAACAACATTTCAAGACACTCGAGCCCCCTTTGGACCCCCAGACTCCACTACCCAACTCGCTAGGTGCGGATATATGAACGAAACTCCCTCTCACAAGTCGCTTTTGGGATGTCGTTGCAATGATGCGCTGATGTGCCGCGCGTGCCAGATCTAGTGCTTCCAAAAAGACGGCTTGCTGCCACTCCTATGGCCTATCATCCCCACATTCAGTTGAGCAGCCAAGCTGGCCAGCATAAACACTTGAGAAAAGGGCCACGAAAGCTAGAGAATGCATAGCTTTCCGATGGAATTCAACGGCAAGCCTTCCTTGAGGGTGGCCGCCCCCGCAGTTGATCAAGTTGGGGGGGAAGGAGGGGGAGGGGAGGCCCACCCTCTGCCCCGCAGACCTTAACAATTCATGAAACACCTCAACACCTCGAGATTTGACCCACCCATGGCAAGAAGACCAAAGCCTGCAGGATCAAGCAAGAAACCGTGTGCTCCTCACTATCCTTGGCAACTGGAAGAAATTTGGGCGTAGAGCGGCAAAACAAAGTGACCCCCCCCTGCGGCAAGAAGGAAAGCCGAGCCACGCGCCCGAGGCAACAGAAGATTCAACCAGCGAAGCATCCTCTCGCCGCCATAAACTTAGCAACTTTGGCAGGGGCATCTGTCCAATTTCTGATGCTTCAGATACAGGACACTTGTATGTGGCTGGGGCAAGTACCCGTCACTGCCCCACAAAACAAGCGCAACAACTGCTCCACCATCCTTGGCGTGTTCTACTCATGCCTGCTTCTCCACAATCCACGCGAGCAAAGGAGGCATCCGAGGCATCCGCACTCCGTTGGCCAAGAGATCTGCCCGGAGGTTCCGTTTGCCTCTGCATCTCTCAGCTCCGCTGCAAGTCCTAACACTTCAGCACTACTTCTGTTTCTGTTTTTGTTTTTGTTTTGGTTTTGCGTTTTGGCCCCACCTCCTGGCCCAGCTGCAAGACCACGCGTCCAAAGCGCGAAAAGCGCCTGCGGTGCGTCCGCATCGTAGCTCTCTGCAAAACCAACCAGAACCTAGTTTTGACGCTCAGCGTGGCTTGACTCCTGTTGATTTAACAACCACTTGAGCGGGGCTGCTCCTCGCATATGCCAAGACAGCAGACATCAGGCCTAGCCTTCAACACAGCAGGGTTCTGCCAACTGCCTGGCAGTTTCAGAACTGCCTGCCACTCAGGTGAAATCGACTCGCTGGTGTGGCTTGCTCTCGGCAGATCTCTGCAGCTCCTCTGTTGCTTGGTGTACTGCAACTGCCATAGCCGTTGAAGTCCTCGAGGACTCAAGCGGAGGGCTGGGCCTGAAAGCAGTGGCTTCATGCCTCGTGCCGCGAGAACCCGTGCTCTAAGTGCGCGGCAGCCGCTGCATTGCTGATTCCAAAGCTGCAAGGCAAATCTGGCAATTGAGGCTGCCAACTTCTCTTCCAAGCCAAAGACGTCTTTGTATCAAAGGCTCGGCTCCGTTAATACTAGGAGATTGTCGCAGCACCTCCGCTCCAGACTTCCTGCAAGTGATGCCCAAGGTCAGAAGCTGAAGAACCTGCTGGCCATAGGGCGTCAAGAAATGCAACAACACGTAGCAAAGGCCTCTGGGAACAATCCAGGTACAGCAGAGGCCTTCAATGATTCAACTTGTGGGCCGCAAGACCGTGTAATGGGGGACAACTCTTTCCAGCCCTGTGCGGTCTCGACCGTACTTGGTAAGCTAATGTAAGCTGAGGGCAGCACAGCTGCCAGCGCCTGCAAGCAGGTGCTTGATTTGAGCATCCTAGGCATGGAACAAAGTCGATGTTGAAGCCAAGTCGAAGAAGGCGCAGTGCAAATCCAGCTGCCTCAGCCGTCGCCTCAAGCGGCTGCTCGCGTCCATCCCTAGCCTGGGCTCAAGGCACGCGCCACTTCTGCAGGTGGGAGGCCAGGCTCCTTGCGACGTAGGAAGAGCGGCAAAGAAGCGCGTGTTCCTGGCATCTCAGCGCACAAATCCTGATGGCGCCAGGGCACAACCGACACAATTTCTTCAGCAAGCGGGCAGAATCCTGTAAAGTGTCGCCTGCTTTGCAGGGACACTGAGCAGAGCAGAATCCAGGAACCCCATTGCTTTGCAATGCGTGGCTTGCCTATGCATGAATTAAACCATGCGGACACCTGAAATCCCGTGCTGCCCCCAACTCATGTTGGAAATGCGCTACTGACGGAACCGAAACATCAACCCAGCGTCTACAGCACAGCACGTATCATGCTCACATGGTGGTGCTCGCTTGGCATACGGTGGGCCGCCCCTCCCAGATCAGGAGAAGAAACTCCGAGCCTTAGGCAATTGTGGCGGGTGGCACACCCTGGCATTTCAAAGACCATGAGAAGGAACCCTCGGGTTTGCGCTCTGGTCTTCACTTCTCTATCTTTCAGATGCGGCAGCAGCAGCAGCTGCAATAGGTTCTCGCACTTCTACCTGGCTGCCCCTGAGGCCATGACAATCAACAAGCACCTCAGGCTCGGAGAATGCATTTGAGAGGAACTTCTTCACCTGGTCTCCCTCCAGCTGTGGATCCAAGAGGTGGAGTAGTCGAACTAACTCGTCCCAGGTCAGCTGACCGGAAGGGATGAGCTTTCCTGAGCTCCATGTTGCTTTGATCGGGCTTCTGCAAAGCGAAGGCGGCCAGAAAAAAAGTGATTCCACGTATCTTTATGAACCTGCCGAGTGGCGAAAAATTTTCAGGACAGGGCCAGGCATCATGCCAAGCTCAATCTTCTCCACCTCTTCCTCATGCACCGCATGCACAAGTGGAAATCCAGGAAATGTTGCCACGCTGTCTTGAATTTACAAGCCAAGCATGACCCTGGCGTGCCAACCGAAACTCTGCGATAGTGGCTGCGGCCACTTCAACCAGCTGCCGCAGTGGCCCCACCTGGGCCGCACTGCCCCCGAACGTGGCCATCACCTCGCACAAACAACTGAAACCAATCATAGCAAGCATAGCACGCGCAGGCTTTCAGTTGGTCGGGCACGCGTGAGGTCAAACAAAGCAGCCAGGCATCTGAACGACGCAGCAACTCGGCCAAGTCAATTCCAACAGCATGTGAGGATTCAAAGCAGTATTCACGTCGTCGTCACATAGCAAAAGCTTAAAGAAAGTAACGCAAACGCCTCTATTTCGTTAATTTATGACATGTGGCAACGGCCACCCTGCAAGACCAGGCAGAGGTCAGCCGCTACCCTTCTCAAGAAAGTTGGCATCTCCATCAATATATCTCGTCGACCCTTCGGCTGAGTGTTTGTGGCCCTCCAAGCTGCGCTCTACATTGGACAATGACGCACGTGAACGCCAGTGTGCATTGACACCACAACCCTTGAGCTCCCTGCGGCCTGGTTCAGTGCTTCATCCAAAGATTGTCCAAGGGCTCCGCTGCACCAGCGCCATGCAAATTGTCGGAAAGCCTGATGACAAGCAAGTCCGAATGGCGTTTGGTCAACTAGACGTTCTTATGGTTCGTCGGGTTTTCATGCAGGGTTTCCACATTTGAAACAGCAGTCTGAATTAAATAACCTCGGCCAGCCCCATTGCGACCAGTACCTACCTCCAAAACCACATCCAAACGTATGGAAGGCTAGCTAGGCTTTGGATCAAGATTTCTTGGGCCAGCCTGTCGCAAGCCCAGTTTCAATGCGGGAGCATGGACTGTGAACTTGTCCTGAAAGTTCGCCTGCTCAGGATCAAGTGGCCAGCATCTCTCAGGAAGGACATCAAGGAGTGCCTGCATCGCCCTCTGCACCCGGAGTAGGAAAGGGCTCTCGAGCCAGTCTGTATCAGAGCCCAGCACGACCTGCAATAGCTGACGCAGCTGCTCCACATAGCGCTCGAGCCCGCTTGCTGCGCTTATGCCACGTACCTTGGTGAGGACCCAACCAAACCACGCTGCCGGCAGGTTGCTTTGCACATATTTGGACCGTATTGCACCGTTACAGAAAGGAAAAGTTAGGGTTCCAAGTTCCAATCCCATACGCAGCTTGATCAATGCCAACAACTTTCAGTCCTCCGGAATCAGGTTCCACCATGAGATTCCTCAGTCGGAGGCCCACTGCCCGACACAAACCTTTGCCTGCTTCCTGATTTTTCAAATTCCCTCTCTCATTTAATTCTGCGAGCAATGCTATCCGTGACGCTTCAGATTGCCAGCGTTGTCCCAGATGATGGGCAGCCGGTCCAAGTTGTTGATCAAGCAATCAAACCTTCCATTTTGACTGAAGGCTGGGCAAAGCTGGCTGAACAGAGTACGTCAAGACCACGCAGACCAGTCTACAAAGGCCCAACCGAAGCCCTTGATCTTGATGGCTCGCTGACTTACGGAGCCCAGGCACGCCACCAGGATGCCAGCTTCAAACCAGAAACGATCCAATCTCCCAGAACCTTCCTCAAAAAATTGCACGAATTCCTGCACAGGGGAGAGGGTGGTCAAAACATATTGTGCTGCCCTCTCTCATGCAGACACCAGATCACTGGACTAGCAGCTAAACCCATGGCTCATCATGGCTCCAGGACCTACCAACATGCACGACCCTGCTCAGACAGAAAAGCCAGCCCAAGCTCAACCATCCGATGGCTGTCCGCTAAAATACAAATGAGACCAGCACACGTGATGGCGTACGTCCAGAGAGCAGTCTCTGTAGCACGGCTCAATACCAGCAAACCCACTTTCTGAAAATCTTGGGAAGTGTTCAGAGGGGGTCGCCATCAATTTCATAGCTGCTAGCTAATTCCTACCACTACTGAGATTCCTGCTGTTTGTGGATCTTAGGGAGTTAGATTAGCCGGATGTTGAAAGGATTTCCACATACAGAGCCGGCCCGTCGTAAAAGAAGCAGCAACATGCGGCAGTGGTTTGAAACCCTGTTTGCTCTGCGTCACCGTCTTTCGCCCGATCTCGCAAAAACAGTCATTAAATAGAAATGTCAAGAGTTAGCCAATTAGATTGGTGCGGATGGGCAAGCTTTCAAGTCCAGCAATCTAATCATGCTGTCTCTTGTCCACTGCTCCTGCCCTTCCATCATGGGCCCGTGCACAAATTCCACGACACCCAAGTGCTTGGCACCGGCGAGTAGCCTGTCCTTTGCTCATGTAACAAACACGCCGCAACTGAGCATGCTTGCCGATTGCATTGGCTCAAAGCTGCAAGATGCTGCTGCTACTTTCCCAAGGCGCCAGATACACACGATGGTCATCAATGGCCAGCTGAGCTTCTCCTGAAAAGACGGGCATGCTTCCCAGCGTAACAACGCAAAAAAAGAAGGAACCATCAACAGAGGATTCTGCAGCCAAAGTGCTTATGGCCTGCTCTGTGTCAGATGACATCGGCACCACTTGTAGTGGAGCTGTCCGCACTTGTAGAGCATTGGCCAAAATGCTTGCGCACCTGTCTCACCGTCAACATTCACAGTAAACTAACCCTCCGCTTTCAGGGCTTCCCTTTTTAGCCAGGACACAACTCTCCGGCAGCCTCCATCCTTTGAGGCTTCAAGCAGCACAGGCGCGGTGGCCCAGGTGGCCCATTGAATCGTGCAAGCATGACACCGCCACTGCCTGCAAGTTCTACGAGTTCTGTTGCACTGCTGCAAGTGCTGTTGCAAGTGTTGACTATGCCTCCAGGGTGCCTCCAGCGATGTAAACAACGGACTCAATGGCGCTCCAATCCAGCTTGCCCAAGCAGGCGCTGGACGCATCACCCCGCCACCTCGCTTTCAGCTGTGCTCGAAGCCCACTTGCTCTTTCACATCTGGCACTCATGAATGCTATCTCATGCATCTCTGAATGCTATCATGATGCTTCTGGACAATTTGGAAACTCAGGAGTCTCTGCAAGCGTCGCTCTGCCTGGCAGGGCTGTAAGCATGCTGTGGGAACCGATGTGCATGGCAACGTTATGCAGGCACCAATTGTGAAGAAGCGTGTAGCTGCAGTACTTCGATTCCACAGAATTCGAGACGATCTGCTCCGGTCCATGGGTTCTAGAATTATCGCACAAGAAAACAAAAACCGTCCGCACCGGCCTGTTGCCTCTCGGACCACTTGATGGCCTGCACACTGCCTACTTGAAAGACTTGCACGATCTTGCCTGTCGTCAAATCTAGCATGTGCATTCGACGAGCTTGCCTTCGGCTTGGCTTTGGGCGGCGGTGGCGGCTGCGCACCAACTTTGGGTCGCGGCATGCCGCATACTAAGCATGTGGATGTTGTCTACAACATCGCCACACTTCAGGGGTTCTAGTTTTGCTAGACATGCGTCCTTGAAAGCAGAAAGCTAGCCTGAGATCAGCAAAGCTGCGAGCGCTCTCGGGTTGCGTCTTGGCATGCGCAGAAGAACGCAATGCAAGTTGCAGAAGGTTTCGCAGCTTTGCATGGCAGGGATGCGACGCAGTCCCAGTACGTCTTCCACAACTGGACCACTGGACTTGAATCACCTTCGCATGTTTATATGTTTATGGCAAGTCTGCTGGCTTTTCAGATCACAACGGCAGCCACTGGGCCTTGTTGGCCCAATGAGCGCCAAAGACGCGAGAAAGAGCACAAACAAGCAGGAAGCACGCCAGCAGATGCACGCACGGTTCATCCTCATGTTGCGTGACATCTCAGGTCCACACAATTTGCCCGTGGCAAGACTGCGTGCAAAATCGCGATCATCATCTGCCTAAGATGCCCCACGCTCGGGAGGCCTGCTACAAACACCTGCTCGCCATGGTAACACCAGCATACTTTCTTGATATTGACTCCAAACTTAGAGTGCGGCATAGAGGGGCAGAATTCGCCGGCCTTTTTTTTCCCATGCTAGGCCAGTGGCGTGTGATGGGACAAGCTTCCATTGCCATGCTCCAAAAAGACAGGGAAGAGACTACAGCACAAGGGAACTCACATGACTAATCCACTCATCAGGCACGACACATACAGAAAGAAGCATGCCAAACTCATGCATATCAATTCGCCGGCCTAGCCGGGTCAACATCATGTGATATATTGCTGAAAGGCGATCCACTATCGAGGCAACTGATTGATTGCCATCATGCAAGCAAAAAACAAAAAAAACGAGGCGGCAAAACCAAATGATAGAGTAGTCTGGGGTGTGAAGGAAGCAAAGCACTAGCCAAAGCACAAGTTCAGTGAGCTGCTCTCCAGCGAGAATCCCATTTGAATACAAGCCCTGCCTACCACCATTGATAATTTCTAAGTGGCAGGCACACCCTATCTTTCCAGCATCAGAAACAAACGCAATGCGGACGAAGGCTAGTACATGCTAGTACTCTATTGCACGGTGGATACATAATGAAACGACCTCCCATTGCCTGGTAATGAAGGATCGATCGCTTGTCCGAAAACTTCAGGCATTGTCAATGGGTAATATTGCTTGATGAAAATAATTTGTGGCAGACAATGAGATACAATGAGTTCCTGCTTCGAAAACCAAGGAAATCCACGGTTCCAGCTATACTGTCTAAATAAGTTCAACCATTTCTGGCCCTGAAAGCCCATGATAAAGCGATGAGTATGAGGAAGTACTGAATTCCAGTTGAGTTTTCTTCATTGTTGAAAGCCCAGAAAATTCTGATTCTAATACGTGCTTTGAATTTACGTTCAATTTCCACTTTATTGTATAAAGTCTTCTGACATCAAAGCTTTTCGAAAACCCGAATTAGTTACGATTCCTTGCAAGGAACCCCTACTCCCTCAAAATGCCACCTGCTACCCACCTAGACAGTCACTTTTAGCATTCTTTTTGCCGTGTCAAACGTGGTTCCACAAAGCAGCTTAAGACCTAATTAAACACTCAAGGCATAACAAGCTTGGCTCGCAGGACAAAATCATTCCAAAGGGTCCACCGGCCAGAGAGGAACTTCAGATCTTAGCGAGAGGGGTGGCTGCCCATCCCCACCATGATCAAAGACTAGACTCTGCTGCTACAAGGCCAGAGGGTGTTTTGACAAATACGTCTAACAGTTCTAAAGTTTCACGTCTGGTGGAACACGCGCCTGTTGCGAGCCGCTGAAGGCTTTACAAGACGGTCCAGAAAGGTCTGCGCAGCCCAAGAACCCACATTGAACAAAGAACACTCACAACCTTCGAGGAGCTGGCTTCCACATTTGCTCAAGCAATGTTTCACACTTCAATGAAGAGTGTGCAGGGGTGTGATATAGAGGAAATGGAGCAATATGGCTGGACGTTGATGCGATTTGAAATCACCTTCCAGTGCATGTCACCGATGAGACATGCATTGGTATCTCACGCAATTGGTGCCCAACGAGGGTTGAATTGATTTTTGCTGTTGTCCAACGCAGCAAAGCTACCAGTAGCAGCTACTGGCATAACAGTGCGCAGTTTCGCCTTTTTAGTTAAGTGTCAAAACCTGCCGTCTCCTGCTGTCTTGCGAAAGCTTGACCAGAAGGGGCCTGGACCAAGGCTTGCAATAGCGCACTGTGACCTGTTTTGTGAATGCTTGGGGAGGCCACGACTCTTAGAGCGAAGCCTCTCGAACTCAGCAGAGGGAAGTCCCGTGCAGAATTTGGCTACATCACTTCACGAGTGAACATCATGCGGCTTCAATGGCCACCACAGGAGTGTGCAGGACACGGAAGGAGACGCAAATCAAAGAACCCGAACAGCTGCAAGCAGCATTCTAATCGTTGCGACAGATGTCTAGAACAAGCGGACGGCCACCATCTGTGCCGGCCTTTGTCATGAAACAGGTGAAAACACCACCTGGCCCCTCTCCTGCCAGTGGTGCCCATAACTTCTTGAGCTCGTGGATTGTCGTGTCAGACCGCCAATCGATTTTGATCCCACTGGCAAACAAATCCAAAACAATAGAACCGTAGAGAACCCAACGCCCAGCAGGATGGCCTCAGCTTGCACAGCTGCGCGAAGAGATGGCCTAGCGGCTTGGACTACCTCTGGATTTTTCCCAAGTTGAAACACCCACAACGACCTTCTTCAACAAAGGGTAGTGCTGGGAAGGACACAGTACGTGGCATCGCAACGCATCGCAAAGCTGGGCGGCATCTCCACCCATGACCTAGTTCCAACAGAAGGCACGCCCCCTCTGACCAGCGTCTGAGCTCCCTGCAGCCAGTAGACAATCATCCCATGACTTCAAGACCCATATCAAAGCTCCACGCATAGCCCATTGCACGCAGCAAGCGGGCCTTGGGCTTCCGGTGACGCGGCAGACGCTACAACGGAGGCCACTAGCTGTAGCTGTCGCCGGTTAGAGGCAGGGCCACCGACTTTGGCTTCGAAGCTCTCCGGGCCAAGCTGGTCTGCAGGAACCTGAAGATTTCTTGGCTGCTCCAAGCGGCTCAATGCGAGGGCATGCGAGGGCATGCGAGTGCATTCGAGCAGGCCTCCCTCAAGGCGAATCTCAGCAAGCTTTCTGCGACAGCCCCAAACTTAGCCGTTTGGGGCAGCTGTCGACAGGCCATTTCCAGGCTTGACCTTCTCAAAGCTCTCGCAGGGATCTTTAAGCAAAAGAGCACCTGTAAGCGATCCAGCGAGTAGGGAAGCTCTGTGAAGCCGAGATATGCCTTGAGACGGTAATGCGCGATCTGATCAACGGCTGCTAGCACACTTCTTTGGGCTGCGGCAGGTGCACCAGCGAGGTGCGGCGGCCTGTGCAACATCCACTCGATAAGCCTGTCACCCGAAGTGTAATCTATTGCAATGGAGGGCGCTCAACACAATCACAAATCATGCCTTGGGCTGAGCTGCAGAGGTCCCGTCGATGCTAAGCAACATCCCTCCAGTGCAGGGTGGTGAGATCAGTTTCTTCGTCATGCAAGATCAGGGCAGCTACCCAAGCACATGCACAAAGCAGGCTTAAGTATCTGTGAAGAGCCACCACGTCGAAAGCAAGCTGTTTCTTGCCTAGCCGCAGCTACGCTCCAAAACCTTTAAAGCAGTGGCAGCTGGCTCTGATGGCAGCTTCATAGCCGCTTTTTTTGCTTCCTCAGGGTAATCCACCTTGCATAGTTGGACAGGGCAAGAAGTTGCAACAGCAAATGATGCAGTAGACAATGTTGAGTGCTTCGCCACGGCGCAGTCTCTGAAACACTCAGCCACGGGCGCAGCCCCTCTCAAAGAAGTCCACGCAAGTTTGCAGGACTTGGTCCAAGGGCATGGGCTTGAAACCATACACCTGCACAGGCTCAGAGGGTGCTTCTCAGGCATGGTGCTGGGAGTTGGCGGGGGGTAGTGACAACGGTGGCATGGGTTTGGATGATATAGGTGGTTTAGCTGGTGAGTGGATTCTGTCGCGCCCTCACCACGACATTGAGCAGCAGAAGTGAAGGAGAATGCCCACACCGTTGGATGTTACCCTGGGCAACATCCAAACAAGAATGGCACACACGCAAGCCGTTTCGTGGGCAACCGATGCGCCTGTCGCGCACGATCGCAACTCAACGGCCACAGTCTATCCACGCTGGGCAGGTACACTTTCCTTACTTGCGCGGGGATCTTGACCGAAAACTGAACTCTGGATGTCGGAGCGTGGCGATGATAGTCTGAAACAAGATCTGCGCTAAAAAGCATATCTGAAAGTGTTCACATGCCGCTCATGTTCATTCAACTCATCTTGCCGAAATTCGGATTCCTGTCTGGCACAAGTCGCGGACGGATGCGGTTTCCACCGGAAGCGGCAAATAGTCTTTCCAGAAACTCACTCAGCTGCAGCTGCTCGTCACCTCAACGCACGGGTGTTGCTGCCTTCATGCTGACGCCAGCCTGCGAGTTGAACCTGAGGAGCAGTCAGCATAAGTTCACAACTTCCACATGTTTAGCGGGCGTCAATTCTGTGACCAGCTGGAACAAAAACCTGAGTCAAACAAAGCGCATGTGCAACGCGTCATTTGCACGGTTCGATCTAACATCTGAATATACAAGTGCATCCAAGCACAAGTTTGCCAAAGAGCTTTGCAACATCCAAGCTGTAGACAACGGCCAGCTTTGCATCGCCTGACGCCTTTGCATCGAGCTGGCATGCAGCACCCCAACGTCTCGCTTTGCTGTCACTGGCACACCGCGAAGGTCTTGTGAAAATCTTGCAGGGAGCCTGTGCAATCTCATCCCCATTAGCGTCCCAGCTCTTCCTTAAAAGCTTGGAAGTGTTTGGGCGGGATATTCTCCGAGGCTGGTAAGTTGCCGGTCCAGCCTCTTGCGCTTGTAGCTCTGAACCTGCGGCGGTGGTGCCCCAACCTCACCAGCACGCAGCCAATGCCAGTAGGCCCACAGACGATACCTCACTTCAGTGCGCCATGCGTGGCCATGTACGGTTTTTGCTGAATTCCAACTCTGTGACTTCATCACGCTGGCCAAGTCACGTCGAATCAAAAGGGCCAATGACATCAGGCAAGCGGAGTATGAAGCACTTCCGCCCCGCTGGCAACTCCTGGAGCATGCGAAGGGATGAACAAAAACGATTTGGGGTGATCAGTTTTTGTGGTCACCATGAATGAAGTCAGCACGGCCCAAGCTCCTTTCGGAGAACTTCCTCACCCTGAAACTTCTCATGCCCGTAGCCGTCGTTATTGTTGACAATGTCTTGCTGCTCCTGCCAGACACACCAATTCGTGTTCCGGCCCTGTGTTCGTGGCGCAGAAGATGTATGCGTATCATGGAGCTGTTCACAATGGTCTGATACGACATGAAGCTTTGCCTGGCCAGAAGGTCGATCTGCATGGTCTTCAGAAACACAGGTTTCGTAGCCTGAACCATCCGTCCGTTTCCTGGCAACAGGAACAGCCAAGGTGGGACTCGGTCAAAAAGCACGCGCGACCACCTGGGTTTCCACTTCTCGTATGCCCAGCTGCTCACCTGGCAGCTGCATGAGCAAGTTCCATCTTGACGGAGGTTTTCCACACTGCTCGTCTGATTTCAACTTTGCACGAGAATCCAGAGAGCGCTAGCACATGTGCCATCACCGTGCCGCTGCCTCATAAACAGAATCGGAGGAGATGTAGATATAGATTTTGAATGCCTCGGGGCTGCAGCTGGCTTCGTGCGCTGCAACACGAAAAATGCAGAACGATCTTCACCTTGAGCCATGCGCCCCGCTCAAGCCTCGCAATGAAGCATGCATGTCATTTCCTCAGTCCCGTGAAGAACACCGCTGAGTTCATGTTGACTGTCAATACCGTACTTGGTTGGTGCTGGCAACCTGATTCTTTAGTGATCTATATCTACACGTGTTCCGCGGCTTCATAAAAACAACAAAGTCAAACAACAAGCTCAAGACCACTGCACTCCCTTCAGAGTGCCCAGAAAGCACGGCAAGATCTTCTCATGATGTGTCACAGGATCGCCATAGTCCCATGCATCACCCAGCTCACGAATGTTAGATCCCGATTAGTGAACGATTGGCGAATTCAGCACCCCCTGATTCGTTTGGGGGCTCTCAATTGTGCGAAGTTGCGCGGCCAAAAAAAAAAATCTTGCGAATAATTCAGTAGAAGCCCTCCTAATCTTTTACCGAGCCGATCATGATCAAGCTATTGTTTTTACTGTAAACCTACAAGTAGGATCCAAATTCGTTTGGGGGGAAACCCCACGCCGTTATAGTAATTAGGAACCCTATTTTGTTTGGGGGGCCCCCAAACAATGATCAGCCCACATTAACGGACACAAGCCAAGCAAAATCCTTTTTCTTGCTGAGCTCTGTATCCGACAGCACTAGTCTTTTTGTAGACATGTCATAGACTAAAACACAGCCTGGCATGACACAGCCTTGGCAGCAGGAGAGACAAAACATTCGACAGCAGCAAAGTTTCAACGAGCTTCTGGTCGAACATCTGGGACGTTAGCGGCTCAAGCGCCCATCACTAAGGTTGACATTTAGCCTGCCTTGACAGTCGCGCACATGCAGGCTTTGGCATCATCTTACGCAAGTAGGCATTTCCCCGATTAATGCTTGAGTCAAGCTTCCACAGAACGCCGAGAAATCCACAACGTAATCCCAATCTCCACCTGCACTGCGCATCTGAGCAATGGGTCCGGTGTACAGCAAGTCTTCTTGCTCCAGTCTCTGGTAACTCCAGTACCTGTAACATGTTGCGGACCTAGCAACCTATTCACATCTGGCATGATGTCCAGTTGACTTGAAACACACCAACCGTGGCACGTGTTGAATTGCACTCAAGTGGCCTAAGCGACGAGTGGCTTCCCGCAGGTGCGCTGCGTAAGAGTCGCCTTTATCTCTGTCTGAGAGCACACGTGCAGCTTTGCCGGCCTGCATCCAGCAACGAAAGAGAAATGGCTGGCTAAGAGCGGCATGTCACTGGTGCGCACTGATTTAAACGGGCTGCGAACGGATCGGGGGTCGCCCAGTACGTCTTCCCACGATTGACTGTACAAACGCCTCGCCGCTGGAACAGCTAAGGCTAAGTCTGGGAAACAGCATCATTCTCTTAAGTCGAACCGTGAAGGTGAGCATCCCAGCTGTCCATCAGACAAGTCGCGTGCTCGGTCCAGAATCAGATCCACGAAAGCCTCTTTGCAGGATTTACACTTGAAGCTGCTTAAAGATGCCCAGCAGGTCATTCTGAATACCCTGATATTCATGAGCCGTGGCGAAAAAACTTCAAAGCAATAAGAAGATCACATGAGCACGACTGCCCGTCATTGCCTTCCCCATAAACTTTGAGCCACCAAGCACCAGCACTGACAGCTTGTCATGTTGCTGGAGAACCTCATCAAAGTACGTAATCCATCTTGAACATTCAGGGTCTCACAGTTGACTAACACCAAACCTCAAAGTTCTGGAAGTTTGCGTTGTCGAGGGGTTCCTCGCCCATTGCTCATTTGGACGGTTCTGCTGAGATATGTTGAGAATAGCTGAGATTGAGGATTGGCAGGCATCTTTATGTGGGTGCTGGATGCCTGTAAGCCCGACATACTGTGGCTTTGCTTTACATCTCTCAGCTTCAATGTCCTGAGCCAGCTAGCTTGCAGCAGGAAACAACTCATGAATCACATCACCACTGAAGTGTGGATGGTGATCTGGCCAACATGACACCAGAACTGGGTCCCATTACATGCTGAGTCAGAACAATTTAGCATCTTTGCCTGCATCCATAGCAGGGCCCGCCATGGTGCCGGGAAGCCGTCCAGGCGTTCGCCAATTTCCAGGACCTGGGTTGTTGAAGCAAGCAAACGACATCAGCTGCTGACGGTAGGAGCCATGCAGCAGCTGCTAGTCCAGACATCTCTGTCCGACTGGCAGCGAGAGTGTATGAGAACCACAGCCTGGCCAGCACTTTTCAACTTCATGCTGCATGCTGCATGCTGCATGCTGCAACTTGCTGCGCGCATTGTGTCATTGCTCGCGCTGCAGCGCACATCTCGCATGCAATCATGCATTATCACACCAGCAAATCAGATGGGAAGACGTGACCTCGACATCCTTGGCCAAGCTCTCGCATGGACCTTTTCCAATTCCGAAAATTCCGGGAGTTTTTCCGAATGATCCGCAGAAGGCCTCCCGTTTCAAGTGCAGAATCTAGGTAAACACAATTGCTGCCTGCCTCTTCACGAAGTGTCCGCCACGCATCCGCAAGAGTTCGCGAGTGTCATACCGCAACTGTAGGGGTGGAAACCTGCTCGGGGTCATCTTCGTAAGTGTCGTCGCTTTTGGATGTTTGGACTATCGTTATTTCGTCGCGTGTCAAGAGTGCCGACCGCCACCGATCCTTGTACTGTACCAATCGTCGCCTTTGGACCGTCGTTTTGCCGCGCTTGAGCAATGCCAACGGCTACAGGGACACGTGTCGCTGTTGAACCGTAGTCGCTCTGTCCTGTGTCACATGTGCCAACCGTCACACGCTGTGGCATCGGCGGCATGTGTACATACAGATCATACAGTTACATGCATCTTCTTGGCCATTAGCTGCTCAAAAGGACTATGCGCAATCAACTAAATCTGGTCAACACAAAGCGGTAGTCCATGGCAGGAACTTTCCATCGCCAGACGAAGGACCGTAGTCTTCAGCCTGCTCAAGAATGCAGCACGGAAAAAACTTGAAGCTGGGATTGGAATATTACTTGAGGCAGCAACGGTGACCAAGTAGTGTCCGTCCACTTTGCGGATTCTCCTGGGCGCTTGAAGTGTCTGGAGCTCGGCCTTTCTGGATGGGGCAGGCCAAGGAGTCAACCCATCAGGGCTACCCAAGCTGAAATGGCCGCTTGAGCAGCTGAACGTGTGCGCACAACTGCCTTCAAACTTCAAATGGTGGCATTTGCAATTCATCAACCCGTTAGGCCTGTGTCGGTCGCTGCACATGAAAGCAAGCACCAATGGTGCTTGCAATGTCCATCACTGAGCTGCTGTTCAGAACGCTTGGCGCAAGAACTGGATCAATGCCTCCGGCTGCGGATGCTCGCACTTTGAAGGGCATTGCAGCAGCCTCTCATGTTTTGCCAGCAACCCAGGACAAAGTGTGAGATGTGCCATATGGCGGCGGCCTGAGCAACTCTGGCACCAAGCGTGCAAAAAGCTGAGGGAACACAGGACAATCTGAGACCTTGGGCACGTGAAGCATCTATGCTCTGGCGGTTTTTTTACATGTCTAGAACTTAGCACGTTCAGCTGTTGACCACGGCGCTATTTACTTCCTTGCTTCCCAGACTTTAGCTGCGAGCGGCTTCATAAGATCCCATACAAATTTTGAATGGGTGCTGCGTCAGGCCCGCCATGCTCGTGCTACACGACTTCTGGTTCAGCAGGAAAACAGATGACAAGCCTGAGAATACTGTATCTGAAGCCTGTCTGGCACATTGTCCTTCAAGCAACATCTCACAGTTGCACGACGTGATTGCCGAATTGCCGAGAGACCCACCTGCTGGGCTGTCACCTATCAAGGGCTCAAGATGAAACCAGCAAAGAGTTCGGCAAAGAGACGCGGCATCAATCCTCGTTCAAACAAGCCCGGCTGACCCACCACTCTGAATGCCGGCCGGCCCCCAGATCTGCCTCATCCTGAAGACCATGGCAGCAGACAGTGTCGCAAGATGCTTGTTGCGTTTGAAGTAGTCAGAGAGAGAGTGGTCTTGTGGCTAGGGAACAGCGAAGGCAGCGGGACGGTCGTGTTTTGTCGGCTCATGTTGGCTCATGTCGGCTCGCACTTTTAAAAAATTCGCCGAGGCCGGAGGCCTAAGACGTTTAGATCCAGGGTAGTTGGAAGAGTAAGTTAACCCACCCCCTACCCCCTCCCAGTGCGCACGATTCCGGGTGGGTCCGAAAGAGAGGATGGAGGGGGGGCGGGGGAGAGGGCTGGAGGGGGTGCCACTGTCACCCCTCCACACCTTGTGCTGTTGAAAGCAATTCTGCACCCACGGCTAGTTTCTGACTGAGGACTGGGCCCTCCCTCCGCCCAAACCCCCCTGGGTCTGAGAACAGGGGTTTGGGTGGACACCGCAGATAGGACAAGAATTGCAAGACCACCTCACCCCCCAACTCATTTGCAATCATTTCCAAACTAGTTGCCTCCCTCCCCACCGTCCCTTTGTCTCCGCCCGAG